AAAAAAAAAGCCCACAATAAGCTTTAATAGATTCCTTGAAATCGTTTATAAACATTCATTACAAAATATTTGTGACAAGTAAATGAAGAAATATGCGTTGTGTACGGTCACCATCAACAAAATAACAGGAATAATATACCACTATTTTCACATTTTTGAACTGATTTAACTCGGTTCGGGCTGTGTTTTTGATTTAAGACCCCATATATTTTTTTGTTTGTAATGTTATTCTGCATCAGTTTATCCACATTTGATCAACTGCCGCGAAAAAATTAAAAGGCACCACGCTCCATACAAATTTGGTCATTGTCATTTGTATTTACTCCCACGACACAGGGAAAATCCTAGCGCGGGGCAAAGTAAAAAAAAACAAACATAAATAATAAATGCATACCAATAGATGAATCGGCATTTCCTAAGTCTCCTCTATTACTTTGATAATAGTCATCTGGAGATACGGTAGTTGTACTAGTAGGCAGTATTGCTGAAATAGGAACTGCTGCTTCATATGGACTGCTACCGGTGACGTCAGGTTGGGTATAATTCGTTTGATAGTCTGGTGGTGACGAGTACTGATCATAATTATTTTGATTGTCAAATGTATCATCCCTATCATCGTAGTCGTCTTCAGGTAAAGGTTCCTTGGTCGTCGTTGGTTCAGGAGCTTTAAAATTGAAATGAAAAACAAAAAATAAACATAAAATAAATGAAAAATAAACTTAAAAAAATAATAATTCATAACCTGGCTGAGTTTGATTCAGATTAGAGCAAGAAGGGCATAATATTGTTTTTAAATCACATCACTTATAAACTGAACGAACTGGTTGTAATTGTTTCCATTATGCTTTATTACAAAAAAAAAACGTATTCCTTTAATTTAATTTAACTTCTTGCACTGCCACTACTTATTTTTGCATTCAGCATAGTATGCAGCCCTCTATTAAGAGGAAACTTAAAATAATGCTTCCATTTTTAAAATTGTAGTAGTTCAATAATGCCTTTATTTATTAATCAATTACATATTGGTGAAAATTGTTTCTGAAACTGAATTTACAAAGTTGATACTAACTCTCAGGACACTCGAGTTCGTCTGTGCCATCTTTGCAATCAGCATGCTTGTCACATTTAACTGTGAGTGGTAAACAGATATTATCGTCGCACGTGAATTCGTTTTCATCACATTCGAACGTTGTACCTAAAGGAAAATAAAAAATAAGTTAACTTAAATAAAGTAGCATAAAATAAGAAAAAAGAATATAAAGAAAATTGGTTGTTGTATACAGAATGGACCAACGGCAACGGCCAATTATAAAAACATATGGCGCTCATATCAAAATCTGACGATCTATCAATAGGTACTAGGTTACTGATAGGTAAATTATAATTTGTCTTATTCTCGTAACTGTTTGACAAAGAACTGGGCTAGTTTGATTCCTAGCATGTGACTACCATGGCTTAAAACTGGTCGAGTCCCTCGTCTAACAATTACGTGATAATTAATTAGTATACTGATAGGTTATTATCTATCAAGAGATTGACCGTGCAGCAGCCACATATAATTCGTTTGGTATTCGTAAAACAAAAGCTAAATTTAATCCCGTTGTATTGGATTACTAAAGTTATTGTACCGCCTTATAAATATTTGTTTAATAGAACTGTTATATTAAAATTCGTTTGTATGTAGATCTACATACAAACGAAAGTATCTATACTTTTGTGTGATTTTGTCGCATTTTCATTTTCTTCCCCTTTTTTTCTTGTCGTACCTGGGTCTATCAACTGAGCGCTGAAGTCTCCGTCTCTAACAGATGTTTCGCCCAAGCGTCCATTATTCTTGATGTGATTCCTAAGTATCTCTTTGATGGTGTCCGTATCTTCATTTCTGGTTGTCACGATGTCCAAAGTAACCTTGCATAGGAAATCGTCGTTGACGAGGGATCTGGAATTGAAAATGTATAAATTAATATATAAAAACATATTTATTGTTGACTGCCTCGTTGGTCGAGTGATCGCAAGTGCGACTTGCGGCAGGGCAAGGGGTCTCAGGTTCAATTCCCGGGTAGGGCAAAGCATTACTGGGTTTTTAAAAAAATTCTCGTTAGTAACACGGAGTCTGGAATTGTGCCCGGTATATGGCAATAGGTTTACCACTATTACATTGGACTCATAACATAAGTAGTGAAAAGTGGGTGTTACATTGTACAGTGGTATAATGTGCACCTCTGCTTACCCCTTCGGGGATAAAAGGCGTGATTTTATGTATATTATTGTAATCTGTTTTTCTTTGGTACATAACAGTCTAATTACTGATCGATTTCTATGATAGTAGGATAAAAGACATCGTCTTTTAATATTATCAACTTTCTTAAGTGATTTCATATGAAAAACACAAGTTGATTTTGGTAATGCTAATCCCAATCAATAGGGTTTTTTTAGGTAAAAATTATGACTTACTGTATCCTGACTAGGCTTGAGCGCTGGGTTCCAGGCAGACTTTCGAAGAGCAGATCAACAGCATTCGCCAATGATCGCGAGATGTTCAGGAACTCAGGCGAGTCTCTGTTGGAGTATGCCGTGATGTACGGCTCCATGACCAAGAAGGTGACACGAAGAGTCTCTGGAAATTGTAAAACGAAATATTTTAATACCAAATCTTTTATGTGGTCTCAGGTATAATAATATCGAGTTTAGGCTCATGAGATTGAAAGGTTCATTTCTGCTAATAATGAGGATAATAATATTACTAGACAAAGTTGTTTTAGTATTATTTCTGTTACAATCTAATTTGACAATTCTATTGCTTTGATTCATGTTTGCAAAGTTCCTGAAACGTTGTGCGTTTAAGTTCGTAGGTATGGTTTTTTCTTCAAATCTTTTCGATGATGGAAGACGTAAAATATGGAAGTCAATTATAATAATTTGAAGTTTCAGTTACCTACACGACTAAAATGTAAGGTGTGTTTATTAAAGTTATCATGGTGTGTATTACTATTGTTTGCCATTTCATCTGTTTTATTATTTTAGTTGCATTTTTTAATTGTGATTTTAGTTTGAGATGTGATTAGAAATACTCACTTTCTTTAGGCTCTAACTCGCTCTTATCCGGTGCCCCGGATCCAACGTCGACGTCAGCATCATCTTTTCCATAACTGAAATTAGAATTGATAGCAATAGGTTAGACAGGTTTAATGTGATGTTGATCAATACATTTGCAGCTGAAATAAATAACCAATTTATATATCTTATCTTTTTCTAAATTGATTTTGATTAACACACAACTATGTTAAAATCGAGTCCACTCCATAGATTTTGGTTTGACATAAGTTTTAATACTAATAGTAAGTTCTTTTATAATTGTGTGTGCATTGGCTTTGTTTTTTTAGACGTTACCCCACACTAGGATTATCTCCTGTGTCGTGGGTGCATTTACAAACATACAAGTTCACATACACATGACACCCAGACCCGAAACAACAATTTGTGGATCACATAAAGTGTTGTTTCGTGCGGGAATCGAACCCGCGACACGTTGCACGGCAGTCGGTTGCCCAGCCACCGCACCAACCGTGCATTGGTGTTGGGGAATAATCTCCTGCTACCTTCTTTAAGAGAGAGGTCAGTCACGTTTTCCCAGCTATAGAACACGTTTACTAGCCAATTTATATATATTTAGTTAGTTTTGAGAAGAAAATCTCTTATATAGAGGTATTGTCTAGAACTTCACTTTTACCTATTTTTTGCACTAAATTAATTACACGTTTTTAAAAACAGTTACGAATGGAGTTTCTTGCTCGTTCTTCTCCACTTTAACGTTGACTTTGACTTCACTGACGGACTGACGTTTCAAACATATCAAATTGTAGTTTAATTGAAATAAATGCTTTGACTTTGACTTTAAAGTAGATTTAAACTTGATTTTGTTATTATGTGCTTACCTTGGATTGTCATTTGGATCAGCCTCCGTGACCGTCTCCGCTTCTTCCTCTTTCTTCGGAGACGACCACCACGCTAGAACATTTATTATACATTAATTAACTTCAATTTGGTAATGAACTTTAATATTTAAACCAGGTAGCGACGTTCCCTTATAAACCTAATGTTTTCAAACAGCGATCTCTAACCAGCTTACCAGGCGTGGAGGTTATGGCAAATAACAAACTGTTCTATTGTGGAGGAAGCTCATACTCATAGATACTATAAAAAAGATCTTTTTAATTTGTCTGTGCCCATACTCAAGCAGTAGACTGTCTGCTGTCAATAAATTGCCCTCTTTTATCATCAAAAGTTTATTTACAATTATTATTATTACTTACTGTCAAACCATTGCCGTTTCGTTCTACTCAAGCCGCCGAGGAGTGATGAGTCTTCATGTTTAACTTCCAGGAATTCATTTGACGCGTCCTCTTCTCCTTCCCAGTATAGGTCATTCGCAGATACCTGTAACGATAAAATTGTCTCATAAGATAGTGCTATATGGACTTTAAACTTAATGTACTTAATTGATTGAAAAGAACATAATTATGGGACGATAACAGCATTTCTTAATTACCTACACATTGGAAGTCTGATTTTAATTCTATACCAGAATCACTATACAAAGAGGACAAAAAAATAAGGAACAATTACATTTATTTAGAAAATCTAACCCCTTCATTATAAACAGTTTAATTATACAACTCATCTAACACTAAATGTCACAAAACAACCCTATTTATACTTCCACTTCGACATTTTATCGTGAAGAAAATAGCTAAAGACACAGATTGCAGCAGCGCAGTTAAACCCAATATACTATAAGTAAGAGCGCCGTATTACGTCACCGTCCAAAGCAATTTCGTGAAGAAATATTTGTTAGATACATAAGACCCTCAGTTTGGATTATGTAGGAATCAGTAAATAGGTGTTTCGTGATTGGTCGGAACCGCTGAACTCGCCCCGCCTTTATAACGATCTCAATTTAACTGCTAAACCCGTCTTAGTAATCTCCACCTTTATATGATAAAACAGAAAAGCCATTTTTCTTTTATCATACCAGAGAATGTATTCGCTCAATTAGCAGTCGATGCAACTGCGTTAAATACACACACGATGCACCCAGATGCAAGTCACACTGTTATTACACTTTTTATTGCACTTTTATTATTTATATTATAAAAAAAAAATTTAAGTAAAGAAAGAATAAAATAGTAATTGTGATATTCTTGTAAAGAAATTAGCATAATAGAAGGAATCCGCAGCGATCGATACGCGTTTACGGACCTTGGATTTGGGGCGTTAGCGTGTTTCATTCATTGGTAGGTCAGTAGGTACGAGTTAGTAGGTATGAGTATTGGTCATAGGTAGATACAGTCGTTCAGATTGGAAACAATCAGCTTTATCATTATAGGAATAATGAATAAATTGCGTTATAATGTCCGTCTTTTAAATTAGTTGAAATTATTAGACACGTAGGCGATACTATATTGTTTTTAAATGTCGTGTGACGTCACGGTTCTCCACTGAGCGATGACGTGGCGACTTTCCACTCCTAAACTTAGTTTTATCGAAGTATAGCTTTCTTAAAGGACAAAATAAAAGAATACATGTTTAATATTTTCAATCAGATTATTACTCTTTAATGTCATCTCAATAGATTTATTTCTGTCTTTGATTCGTATGATCGGACATAATTGTATATTGTGTATAATATTATCTCAAATTCCTACTTCCCAAATGGCCGGTAACGCACATGTAACGCCTCTGGTGTCTCGGATATTCGTGTGTCCATGAGCTGCGTCGATTGCTTACCATCAGATGGTCCGTCGGCTCGTTTCCCAGTTTATCTCATAAAATAAATATTACTTATATACTTTTCATCTCTTTGATCGTGTTTAAAGATTTTTCTTGTGTTTAACGTGTTTCATTATTTTTGGCGTTTGTTTTGTTATTGTTATCTTTACTGTGGTTGGTGTTCCTTAGATGGTTAAGTAGGTAGGTTTAGTATTGTTTAACATTACGTCTTGCGTTTGGGTTGGGTACCCCACCTAGGCAAAGGTGGGTTGGTTGTTGTCATATTGAAAGTATCATCCACCTTTTTTGAAAATTGTATTTTTGTCACATTGACGAAGTTATTGTCATATAATTAATGAGAATTGTTTCAAAAATGTCTCTACACTAAAGAAATTATATTAAAATTATTTGTAAAAGTATCTTATAGGCCAATATTGTTTTTAACCTGATTTTGTTTTATATTAATTTTGTCATTGAAACTGTGAATTTTGTACTCAATTTCTTAACGTTAGATTATTTTTGTAGGTAAAGAGGTATATTTTACTGATTTATTGTATCACTTTCAGGTTTCAATTATAATACCTACATCTGCAAGTAACTATTTTGCAGTGATTAATCTTCGACGAATGAATCGGTGTAAAAATAAATAATTCGTCCCATAATTTTTACAAACGTAACCACTAGCGCCATCTATGATTTAGCACGTAAACTATTATGTTCACTGAACAAGCAGTTTCAGTATAATCAGGTGCTATTACGAGCATATATTTTATAATATATGTAGTTAATGAAGTTTTAATTATGAGTAACATTTTTATATTTTGTAGGTAGATACAAAACAAATATTTTTCGACTGAAGCCCTGTATTACCCTTAGAATATTTTTAGTTAAATACACTAAGGTTTTATCAAACAACTCATGTAAGTTTTACAGTACGAGATTCATACCTACAGCAAGAATATAGGTACGTTTATAAAAAGCATTGCGCGTAGAAACTATGAAAGAATAAGCACGAAGGTACGTTAATGAAATGAAATGATACATTTACATATTATACATTCATAAAGTGCCTAAAAGTATAACGATAAAAAAACGTATCTTTAATACCTAATACTCTTATAACCTTCGATTAAAAAACCGATTTCACCCCCTATTTTCTTGAAGTCGTCTAATTAATATATACTAAATCCGTGTCCTAATTATTGCAACACACACTTTTCTATAAACCGCATCAAAATCGGTTCAGCCAATCGCGAGATAATCGCGCACAAACAAACATACAAACCAAAATGAGAACCTCCTTTTTTGAAGTCGGTTAAAAAACCTATCTCAAGAAAACTTCACAAAAAGGAAAATATTTTATATACATAGTAATCATAAATCGAACCCGCGCCTGTTTAACATACAATTATGTACATAAGCGATACTCCCGAAAAACTGAACTACCGGCGACCGGACGAGAGATCGTAAAATCGTCATTAAGTCGTTGTGGGGAGTCATGATTCGCAAATAAATCGACACTCGAGCCGCAATTAGGGGAGAGTGGGGGCTTTCGGCACGAGGGGGATTTCCTTGCAATTTTAGTTAGTCCAACATGATCCGTCGTCGGGTGAGAACGACAAGACTTGCAAGTTAATGGTCCACGCTGTACGGACCACTTCCAACCGACTCACTCGTTGGCTCGCTTTCTTTATTTTTAAAACTGTGTTATCTTTAAGTATAAGTACACTCAGCTGTGTGTCGATAAATTGTGAGATGTCAATTCTTATTTATTTGCTGTAAAACGTTAAGTTTCGACTAATAATCACAAATCATAATATATTGTTTTCAAGGACACTATCATTAACAAAAATAAAACAATTAACTTAAAATATTGGCCAATTTACAATTAAGTACAAATGCACCGGATCCGAAAGAAAAAAGTCGTAACTCGTACTTAAAGAGTTTGTAAACACAGCAACGTAACAACAGTCTGTGGGTCAGTAGGCGCAAAGTTGAACACCTATTCAAAACAACTACTTATCTTACTTGACCGACATGATAACGCCGCTAGCTTATCTATTATCTATTACACCACATTTTCCTTTTTCTTACAGATCTTCTCAGCACTTGTTAATAGACCTATCCATTATTCTAACATACGAGACAGACTACTAATCACAATAACTCAAAAATGACAAATTACTCCATACTGAGTTTCGTACCAAACTACGTCGTGCTTGTCTCACTAGATGGCGCTGGGCGCTAAGAAAGGAGTTTAAGAAATAATGCGCTTGGTTTGACTCGATGCAAAGTTATGATGAATACGTAACATTTTTATGGAATATAAAGTGACATACGAGAAGACAGACGTGATGGTAAGCAAACGGCGCTGCACATGTACCTACACCTACAATAATATAAGACTTACTAGTTCGTTGCCAGCCTTTTAGGGATTGGATCTTTTGAGGAAACATTGGACCTGTCGAAGTCACCTCACCTCATATTGATGGAAAGTATAAAGGATTAAATAGCAGTTGTTAGTAGACGCAAAATGTTATTTAAAATATCTCCGAAGTATATTGCAGTAAGTGAAAATATCCTTTGTTTTATTTTGAAAATATTAAAGTGTAAACAACGGAATCGTTACTAATTATGTTTTTAGGTACTTAGTTGTTTATGTTAAATAATATTTGTTTGTATCAAGGAAGTTATATAGTTTCTATGCAAAATGTTTATAATCTGCCGGAAACTCGGCTAGTAACGTTGCCAAAATATTAAACGGTGATTTTAAGTATTCATGATCGACATAATCCTCTGAATATTAGTTGAATTTCCAATAAAATGTACCTACATAAAAAGAAAATCTCTGCAACGGTAATATAAACCAAGGTATAAGAAAAACTAATTACTATCGATGGCAACATCTTTTCAAAAACTATTTCGGTGTACAATTTCTAACACAATATGCTAGCTTATTTGTAAAATCTATTAACTGTGACGTCAACCGTTCACCCTTGATATCAAACTCTAAACCGGAAAATGCCATCAACCATTTATAGCCAAGATTTATTGGTCCTAGTGTTTTGGCAATATCATTATGAGAGTTTCCTAGTGCTACAGCTAATTGAAATATTTCAATGAGTCGGAAAGGCTATTTTAATTTTAACCTAGTGTTTATCAGAATAGCTGAGTTATAGGCTCGCTCAACTGTCTTGCATTTTTGAAATTGAGCTTTTTTTATTTTTAAAAGTAACGAAGCAGTTTCTTCGTTGTTCTTTTCCATACAAATTTACATTTTGGAGTTTCAAAAGAGGCCGTATATGGAGAAATTCGTTGGTTGAACAATCTTGATTTTGATTTTCACTTGACTTTTGTAGCCGTTTATCTGTAAATGAGACCACATTAAAACTATTCTAAACTCTTCTAAACACTACCTAATTATTTCGAACTCGAAGAACATAATACTATTCCTGCATCCAGGATTAAAGTTAAACCCTTGTTAGTAGCATTAACTAACCACGAATGGTACCGAAGATAGAAAAATAAATCACCTGTGGCATTCGTTTAAAATAGAAACCAAATACCTAGAAATATGTTAAAAAAATGTACGAATTACGCATTAGTTTGATTCTAAAGAAATACACTTATAATGTTCGCGTATAAACGTACATTAGAGGGTTTTAATA